TGTTGATACTTTTTCATTGCCTGTGTGATATTTTGAATGAGAATGGCTCCCATAGGCTCTATATTTGAATGCTAGGTCCCAAGTTGATGGAACTGGTTTGGGAAAGATTAGAAAGTAAGGCCTTGTTGGAGAAGATGTATCACTGGGGATGGGCTTTGAGGTTTCAAAAGCCCCTACCAGGTGCACTCGCTCTGTCTCTCTCTCTGTCTCTTTCTGTCTCTGTCTCTCTGTCTCTTTGTCTCTGTCTCTCTCTGTCTCTTTATGTCTCTCTCTGTCTCTGTCTCTGTGTCTCTGTCTCTCTCTGTCTCTCTATGTCTCTCTCTGTCTCTGTGTCTCTGTCTCTCTCTCTGTCTCTCTATGTCTCTCTCTGTCTCTGTGTCTCTGTCTCTCTCTCGGTCTCTCTGACTGTCTCTGTCTCTGTCTCTGTCTCTCTCTCTCTTGCTCTCTCGCTCTCTCTCTGCCTTGTGCTTGTGGATCAGAATGCAGAAGGTAAGCTCTTAACTAGTGCTCCAGGACTATGCCTGCCTGCCTGTCTGCCAGCTGCCATACTCCCTGCCATGATGATCATGACCACTAACCTCCTAGAACTGAAAGCAAACCCCTAATTAAATGCTTTCTTTTATCAGTTGCCTTGGTCATGGTGCCCCTTCATAGTAATAGAACAGTGACTAAGGCAGCCTGCTACTGTTAATTGAGCATCACTGAGACTTGTAAATATATTGTAAAATGTGTGGCCAGCTGCAGTGGATGAATCCTGAACGGATCACTGAACATATAAGTACCTGTCCAAGCTCCTTATTAGAGGCATTGTTGTTTGCGTCTGTTAATAAAAGTGGCAAATTATTCATGAAGGAAGGAATTTTCTTTTATCTCCTGATCTAAATGAAACTTCAGACTAAAATATGTTATTTTTTAAAATAAAATTATTGTGTGGTGTGTGTGTGTGTGTGTGTGTGTGTGTGTGAGAGAGAGAGAGAGAGAGAGAGAGAGAGAGAGAAAGTTTTGGGAATTTGTTCTCTCTGTTCTCTCTTTCCACTTTGGGTTCTGGGGATTGAACTCATGGATCTCAGGCTTGCAAAACAAGTACTTGTTTTGTTGAGCCATTTCGACAGCCCAGAAATAATCATATTCTTTCTTATTTCAAACATTTTATTTGTTAGACCACATTCAAAATAATCACTTGAGAAGTCAGGCAAGTGGCACTTGAGCTTGGTAGAGAGATGGAGATGACAATATGGAGCACAAAAAATATAAGTTGACCTGGAAACTTCACAACGTTTTCTGCTCCTTTTTTCTTTAACTTTTCAAAGTTAGATTTATTCCTTTTATTTTATATATGTTTTGCCTGCATGTGTGTATGTACACCACATGAGTGCCTAGTGCCCGAGGTTGTTAGAAGAGGGTATTGATACCCTGGAACTGGAGTTATGGATGGTTAGGAAATACCATGTGGGTGCTGGGAATTGAACCCAGGTCCTCTGCAAAAGCAGCAATTCCTCTGAACTGCTGAGCCATCTCACAACCCCCTGTGCTCTGCTCTTTAAGGACACATTTCCTTAATTATTTGAGCCTGTATTAAATACATTTTTCTCATAAAATAATGTCTCCTTTTTCTTTCCCCCTTTGAAGGCAACATATCATTCTGTAGTCCATCCTTATCTGCAACTCCCTATGTAGCTCAGGGTGTCCTTAAACTTTCGAGCCTTCTGCTTCAGCCTCCCCAGTGCTGGGATTATGTGGGACAATGGACCATATCAGGAAACTTGGTAAGATAGAGCTGGTCTGAGATTCCTGGCCTGGAACACGTGTCACACTACCCACATCGGTCACGTAGCACAAAACAGTTCTCCATGCTAATGAGGTATCTAGAGGCCTTGAGGGTGTAGCCAATAAGCTTTCCTTCCCAGACATTCCTTTTTGCAGAAGGTGTTTAACCTGTGGTCCACCCTGAGAAATAGATAAACATCCATTTTCCACAATGAACAACCAATGAACAGTTTGGAATGAAGGACTGTCTCTTTCATCTACCACCACCACGGGGGGCATGGAAAAGGCCTTCGCCTACAGAGCTGTGCTGCCTAAGTCTTCCGTAGAAGGCCTCTCTGTTCTTCTAGACAACCTCCACTACCTTTGCCAATGAGCTAAGCCAGAGCTCCCAGCCCCAACCCTAGGCTAGATGCCATCCTCAGCCAGCTGGCCCCCAATGGCCCTGGCCTTGTCACTGGCCTGTGGATCCCTGACACTTCATTCCCAACCTCTCTCTCTCTCTCTCTCTCTCTCTCTCTCTCTCTCTCTCTCTCTCTGTGTGTGTGTTTAACAGCAACTAGATGCTCAGAACTCAGGGAATACAAGCTTCATCTCCCCACATCTCAGACTGCATTTTCCCACCCCCTAAGCGGTGTCTTGGCGCTTCCCTAAAGCCCATCCTCCACTGCCTCTTTTGCCTCCTTTCTTGCCTTCCTTCCTTTCTTATCCTTTCTTTTGGGGATTGAACCCAGGGCCTTATGTTCACGCTAGGCAAGTTGCAGAAAATCTGACTTCCATGTACAGCAGGTACTCATGTGGTGCACAGACATTATGCAGGTAAAACACCTATACACATAGAAATAAAAAATAAATCTCAAATTATTAAAAACAACATCAAAAAATAATAAAGACACTATGCCCCTATCATGTTTGACAGTGCCAGTTCTTTTTAGGACATAAGTTCTAGATGTTTTTCTTTTAATAGTCCAGCTTCCAAGTGAAGTCAGCCACTTCACTTATTTTTATTACTTATCCTAAAGTTATTTATTTATTTATTTATTTAGCGACAACGTCTTACTATGTAGCCCTAGCAGATATCAAACTCAATCTTGGTTTACCCTCCAGGGTATTGAGATTACAAGTGTATGCTACTCTACTGTGCCTGATACTTGTTTTATTTTACAGGTATTCTTTCAAAGTGTGCGTGTGTGTGTGTGTGTGTGTCTGTGTCTGTGTCTCTGTATGTGTGTCTGTCTGTGTCTCGGTGTGTGTTGTATTTCAATATATAAAAATGACGTATTATGTTTCTCATTCTTCCGTCAGTGCTGTTTAGATCTGGCTCAGTTTTCTTTCTGTTATATGGCAGTTCATGATGCACTTTCCACCACAAACTGCACTGCAGTGAACATGCCTGGATATTTGAACTTTTACCAGGAACTTTTTCTTTTTAAACATTTTGGGTGTCACTTTGTAACTCAAAACGGCCACAAACTGTGGAGGCAAGTAGAGCCATGTCACCAGACTAAAACTGGGAAGGTTGAGTGGATTTAGAAACCCTGGTAAATTCTCATATCTGAGAACGGTAGCCATTCCCGACTCGGTTCCAGTCCTGGAGCATGTGACCATGACACATCACTTGAGGATCTTGACTGCTAATCACATAACACAGAGCACAGAGTTCTCCATGCTAATGAGGGATCCAGAGGCCCTGAGGGTTTAACCACTAAGCTTCCCTTCCTGGATATTCCTTCCCGAAAAAGGTATTGAATCTCTGGTCCACCCTAAATACGTTGTATATACCGGTTTTCCCAAGAACTGCCATGGGGAGAAGCATTTGTCATACAGAACTGCTCACTTAAGTCTCCTGCAGAAGGCCTCTCTCTACCCTCCAGACATGGATACTCAACCCTGAGTTAAGCCGGAGTTCCCCCTCCACCCAGTCCTGGGCTCATCATTGGACCACTTGTCCCCCTCTTTCCTGACTCTATGAGATTCCCAGCAGCAATTGGACATCCGAGAGAGTTTGGGAACCCCTGTCTCCTCGGCCACAGACTAGGCTGGGGGCCCCATCTTAGGCTGTGTTCTACTACCCCTACACCGCAACAGCGGTGAAGATGGAATGTAGCCCTTTTTGTCTTGCCCAAGCAGCGTTCACACACCCCAGTGGCAAGGCAGAATGCTGACTTACAACAAACCAGCTCAGCATCCTCCTACATGACCTTCTCAAGTGCCAACATCACAATCATGTGCCACTCTGTCAGGCTAAGTATTTTCTGTGTATCAATTGAGTTAACTGCTTTGGGTTAGTTCTCTGATGGCCCAGATCTTCTCTCCTACCTCCGTGAGACTTCAAGAGGCCCAGTCTCCCCCATGTACTTAGCATGCCTCTGCTTTCTAATTTTTTTTGTTAGTTTAACAGGCACAAAGTGGTATTTTATAGTATTTTGTTGCTTGTTTTTCTTTTCTGCTATTTGGCTTTGAGCCAGGATGTTTTTTAGTCTGAGCTTGCCTTCCACTTTCTATGTAGCCAAGGTAGCCTCAAATCCTTGATTCTCCTGCCTTCATCATCTCTTAAGTCCAGCATCTAGCACTGCTGCTTTCTTTCTAAATTATTTTTTTTATTGTGTGTTATGGTGTGTATGTGTGTGTGTGTGTATGTTTGTCTGTTTGAGACATAGTTATTTTATGTAGTCAGACTGGCCTTAAACTAACCCCCCCTCTCTTTCTCAAGATGAGATATTTTATTTAAAACCCATCAGTGAAATGGATGGCTTATGTCTATGACAAATCATTCATATTTAAAGCATGAGTTAGTAACTGTATGAAAGTATACATTGCCACATACAAATGAACTGATCAGACCATCACTTTCCGTGTTGGAACAGAAAAACTTCCCTGTAAAAGCAGCACGTTTGTGACATTTAATTTAGTATTCTTCTCCTTCTTCCTTGCGCTCTCCTTCAACAGAACCTATACCAACTTCCTCATAACCCTTCTTTAGGGCATCCATGTCCTCATGGGCTTCAGAGAACCCCCTTCTCCATGCCCTCACCCACATACCAGTACACAAAGGCATGCTTGCTATATATCAGATGAAACTCATGATCGAGGTGAGCCCAGGCCTCAGTAATGACTGTGGTGTTGCTCAGCATGTACACAGATCTCTGGACCTTGGCCAGGCATCTACTAGGTACCACAGTGGGAGGCTGGCAATTAATGCCAGCCTTAAATCCAGTGGGACACTAGTCCACACACAAAAAATCAAATGCTTTGAGAATTTGCATATCATTATTGTGCAGGGGCCATGCTAATGTTCTCTGCATTGCTCAGATTTTTAGTATATGTGTTGCCAAAGTGAGTATGGCCTTAAACTCTTAATCCTCCTGCCTCAGCCACTGGATTACAGGCTCCTAACATAACACATAATTATATTATTTGCTTTTAAGTTTGGTTATCTGCTGTTAGGCAGGGTTCTCTAGAAAGACAGAACTGATAGCAAGTACATATCCATATTATCAAAGGAGAATTATTGGATTGGCTTACATGAGAGGGGTTATACAATGCAACAGTGGTCATCTGCGTGCAGGAGAAGCCAAGGATCAGATTTCTAATCCAGGAAGAAAAGTAGAAAGCTCTCACAGTTCCAATTCAACGGCCACAGCTTTGTCATTCCCAGCTGAGTTACTGAGAGTGAGTCCATTTTGAAGGACCAAAGAAGCTAGAATGTGAAATTGGCTGGCTGTGTGTGTATGCAGACAGGTTCAGTCATTCAGAACAGAAATAGACTTGCTGGATCACCTGCCTCTCTCACTGTTGCCCTCTTTATCCAGAGAGCTTGCCCACTCGATATTCCCACCCTATTTAGAGTGGGTCCTTTGTCCTTACTATCCTAGTATTCAATCTTTGGGAATACTTCCACGAACACAAAAATAGGTCTCACTAGACCTAGATGTACCTTAAACCCATCAAGTTCATGACTCAGACCAACTATCACATCTGTGCATATTTTAGAAAAAGATTTATTTATTCTTATTTTATGTATTTGCCTGCATGTGTGTCTGTGCATCACATGCATTCAGGGCCTATGAAGGCCAGAAAAGGACATTAAATCCCCTGAAACTGGAGTTACAGACAGTTGTGAGCTGCCATGTGGATGCTGATACTGATTCTGGGTTCTCTGGAAGAACAGCCAGTACTAGTAATCATTGAGTCCCACACTTGTCCTTTTATCTTGAGTTCTTAGATATATGTTTCTTATAAAGTATACTTTAGAACTATTTTGTGCAGCAGTCTGATGTTTTTCATTTTCTAAATGGTATCCTTTGAAGAATAAAACCTTTTGATTCTCCCAGAAATCAGCACAGCATTCTCCAGCACTATGCAATCCAGCCATCAGGGAGAGTTTGTCTCCTGGTTAGTTCAAGACTGATCTCTGTGTATCTTGCAGCCAAGGTGTGTGTGTGTGTGTGTGTGTGTGTGTGTGTGTGTGTGTACACGCAGCTTCAGCAATAAGTGCTCCTTTATGTTGTTGCTGTTTGAGGGAAAGTCTCGAATAGCCCTAGGTTAGCCTTGAATGTCAGATTCTCAAGCTTAACATTTTAGTTGATATTTTACACAAAGTCAAGTTAAGGGATAGTTGCTAATCCTTTCAATAAATGGTGCTGGAATAAATGGATATCTGTATAGGAAACAGGTGTTTTGATCAATGCCACATATTATAAACACACAAAGATGAATTACTCACTAATAGAATAATAAACAGTGGGGCTTGAGATGTAGCTCAGCAGTAGCATCACCTAGTATGCATAAGGCGTTCAAGGCTTTGAGTCCTCTCCTTAGCACTGTAGAAACAAAGATGAAACAAAGTAGGAGGTAGACTTTCAGGAAGGTTGATCAGGAACTCAAATTCTCTCTCTTTCTAGTTCATTCCATTACACCGCTGTATAGTATTCTCTGGCATATACTTCAGTTTACTTATTTTGTGATGTGTAAATATTATTCTCGTAAAGATGAGGAAGGTTGTATTGGGATTGAACAAAGGACCTTGTAAACAGATATATACTACTGTAATAGCCCTCAGAGATTACCTCGCTTGTTTTCACTAATGGTTTAACCAACTGTGAATCTGAGTTATTTGCTCTGTAGGAGACCTCACTCCTTTGCATTCTTGTATATGTTATACCACAGGTGTTCATCTATAAGGGAGATGAAGGTAAGGCCTACCTAAACCTAGATTCTGAGACTTATTGGTGCAGCAAGATGTTCCCATTCTCATTCCTTTCTTGGTGGGGGTAGGCATTGCAGACTATGTTGTAATTGGAACTTCAGCCCTAATTGTGAGGAATTAAAGCTTCAAGGAACTCAGTACTCTAGCAAACATAGACCTAAGCCATATGGAAAGTTGTAAATGGATGCTGAGATAGACTCCTTAGTGGAAGTTGTCTTTCAGAATTGAAGAGGTCTGAACCTCCTCTTCATGAAGCAAAGAAGTCTCTGTATGACACTGGGAGAAAGTTGTTGCTTCTATGCGAATCAGTCAAGGATAATTAGAAAAAGTTTGGATATCGTCAGAAATTATAAAGAGGAAGTAAAAGATGATGCCAAGAATCAGGTAACTATTATTAGTTCTTGTTCTCGTTCAAATCACCACAGTGAATAGGGTGGGGGTGGAATGGTGGAGCAGTCCACATCATGCTATCCAGGAAACAGAGAATAAGGGACATAGAGACAGTATAGAGAAGAAGAAATAGCCTGCAAGGCATGGCTCCAGTGACCTATTTCAGCCAATTCAGCTGCATTTTCTACCTTTCACCCCTTTCCACTAATGGCATCATATTATGTACCCGTATCAAGGAAATAATCCATTCATAGGCCAGAGCCCTCCTGTTGTAATTGTCTCTGAAGATGAACTCATGGAGGTGTACTTTTCTAATCTTCTATGAATTTTGTAATCCTATCACGGAGACAATGAAAATTAACCTCACATAAGCTAATTTATTCTTTATCCACTGCAACAAAGATCTGCAATAGTTTTGTGAAGATCTAGGGCTGGAACCCTGGCTTCTCACAATCAGACATCATTTGTAGTAATATTTCAATATTGACTATTGTTCCCAGTGGGCTATCACCTTGGTATTTCTTTCTCTCCCTCTCTTTCCTCCTCTTCTTTATTTTAAATTATAGAGGTTTATATATCCTTGGCTAGCCTAGAATTAACAATGTAGCCAAACATATTCTTGATCTTCTGACCCTCCTGCCTCCGTTTCTTGAGTGCCAAAGTTACAAGAACGTGCCATATGTGTTGTTGGCAATCAAATTTCAGACTTCTTGCATCACTTTACCACCTGCACTACATTATCATTCCCTCTTTCTTGTTGTCTGTCTGTCTGTCTGTCTGTCTGTCTGACATGGTCCTGGGTATCAAATGGAGGGCCTTATACATCATCCAGCTTAAGAGCTCTGTCTAGCCACATCCTCGGCTCCTGCCTTACTCCTTTTATCCTCTCCCTTGCTCCTTTCTAATTTTCTGTTTTTTTTTTAAAAGACTGTCTCATTATTATCCCAGGCTGGTATAGAATTTTGTATATAGGCGAAGAAAAAATCATCCTTCAACACATGAATCTTGTAGCTCAGATTCTTGAGTGCTGGGATTATAAGCATGTGCCACCTTGCCCTACCAATGACTTTTATTTCTAAGACAAGTGTGAAAGTGTGGAAAAAGAAAATAATCTCTCCCACTTACTCAATTTTGTCTCTTATATTTATGATAGTGTTGTTCTTTTTTGTTGTTTTTCTCTGATTGCCAAAGGGAAGAAGCACTATTATCCTGTCAAAGATATAGAAAAATTGGCAAATACAAGAAGGTGAATGTGTATGTGTTCTCTCTCTCTCTCTCTCTCTCTCTCTCTCTCTCTCTCTCTCTCTCTCTCACACACACACACACACACACACACACACACTTTACCATTTCTCCCTCAAGTGGCCACAAGAAACAATTACAGTAGTGGCAAAGATTGACAACCTTGTTTCCAGTTGTTGAGATAGTCTCTGGTCCATCTCTTCACCTCACATTGATTGGTCAGATTAGTAATTAGAAACTAATATCAGTCCCATGTGGATTTCAGTCATGTGTGGGGGAAGGAGGGAGGGAAATAATTGCCAAGGCTAAGGATGAACAATAAATGACAAAGATGCTTTGGAAAATTTTAACTTGAGGCCAGTAAATACTTATTAGTGTTGGTGATTTCAGGGATCCCTGTTTCATGTAACCTCAAATCCATTATCTGATCCTATCCTAGTGGGTGTGGCTAGTCTTAATCCCCAAATCCTGTCTTTTAGAAATCAGGATGTTCTGGCTACTTTTCTTGTTGCTCTACAAAATACCTCACAAAAGCCAAATAAGGGAGGAAGGATTTCTTAACTACTCAGAAGAAAGTCCATCAGGTGGAGAATTCATGGAAGCGGGAGCAGCTCACAGCTGTTAGCAGCAGAAGTATAAGGCTGTTGGCTTAGCTCTGGGAGGCTCAGGATACAAAGATAGGGGAATTCAGGTATTCAGCAAGCATTTCCCCGTTTCTGTCCTAGTTTAGCCTAGGATCCCAACCCTGCTGATGGTGCTGCCTACCTTCAGAGTGACCCTTATCCTCCCAGTCAATCCTCTTGGCAATTCCCTCCCAGACACACTCAGAGGAATTCATAACTCGTTCATGATGATTTGTCAGTCAAGTCACAGAGGATATGAAATTTTGGTGATAATGACTGGCATTAATGGTAAGGACTCAGGAATATTCAGTTATTTACCATCATTACTTTTCTAATGCAAAGTTCATTTTATCAGTTACTTAGTTTTTGATTGCTGTGATAAAACATCATGACCAGGGCAACTTATAAAAGAAAGAGTTTAATTGGGCTTGTGGTTCCAATGTGTTAGAGTTTATGGTGGCAGAGTGGCAGGATGGTGGTAGGTGGCTGAATCAATAGCTTCATGTCTAAAGAGCCCACATGTAAATCTATAAGCACACTGAGAATGACATGAGCTTTTTGAAGCTTCTAAGCAAGTCCCCAGTAACATACTTCTTTCAGTAAGGCCTCACCTCCTAATCCTTCCCAAACAGTCATCAACTAGAAATGCAGTATTCAAATACCCAAGACTTATGGGAGACATCTCATTCAAATGACCACTTTTATAAGTGAGACGTACACAGAAAAGGATAGGAGTGTCTTATTGTTTTATTGCTGTGAAGAGACACCATGTCCAAGGCAACTTATGACTGAAAGCTATTCATTGGGGGTTTGCATACTGTTTCAGTGGGTGAGTCCATGAGCATCATGGCAGGGAGCATGGCATCAGGTAGGCAACCAT